GAGAGAGAGAGAGAGAGAGAGAGAGAGAGAGAGAGAGAGAGAGAGAGGAGAGAGAGGAGAGAGAGAGAGAGAGAGAGAGAGAGAGAAGAGAGAGAGAGAGAAAGGGGAGAGAGAGAGAAAGAGAGAGAGAGAGAGAGAGAGAGAGAGAGAGAGAGAGAGAGAGAGAGAGAGAGAGAGAGAGAGAGAGAGAGAGAGAGAGAGAGAGAAGAGGGGGGGGGAAAGAAGAGAGGTATGGATAAAGAAAGGAACGGAGGGAAGGAGGAGAGAGGTATATGAAACAAGGTGGTAAGGAAAGCTGAAGGGAGGGAGGGAGATAGGGTGGACGGACGCAGGAAGAGAGAGGGGGAGGTTGATGCAAGGGAAGCAGAGATGCAAGTGTTGAATGTCGGTGAGGTGAGGGGAAGAAATGTTTTAACATGATTACGAGCGACTTTGGAGCATTACATAGAAACTTTATCAACAAATACAGGTTGACTTTTCCCCTTTCTTCATATCCTCCTCCTCATTTTCTTTATCCCTGCTCGTCCTCTTTCTTCTTCTCCTCCTCCTCATTTTCTTTATCCCTGCTCCTCTTTTTTCTTCGCCTCCTCCTCCTCCTCCCCCTCACCCTCCCTCCTCTTCCCTCTCCCCCTCTCTCCTCCCCCTCCTCCTCTTCCTCCTCCTTTTTTCTCCTCCTTTTTCTCTCCTTCTCTGCCTTTATCTTTGCCTCCTTTCGCGAGTCCTTCTTTCAAGGAATGTTCCGTTGGCCTAGGACTCGTCACGTGATAAGCTCCTTTGAGTCAGACAAGTTAATCCACGATGCAGGACCGAGAATGAATGGGAGACATGAATCAAATACATTTTTTCATGGATTACTTGGGTCGTGGTGCTTACAACTTGGGCCTTATGCGATGACACGGCGGAAATGTGCAATGTGCCGTAGGTCGAGTTGTTGCATCAGAGTTAGAGAGAGAAGAGAGAGAGAGAGAGAGAGAGAGAGAGAGAGAGAGAGAGAGAGAGAGAGAGAGAGAGAGAGAGAGAGAGAGAGAGAGAGAGAGAGAGAGGGGGGGGGAGAGAGAGAGAGAGGGGGGGAGAGAGAGAGAGAGAGAGGAGAGAGAGAGAGAGAGAGAGAGAGAGAGAGAGAGAGAGAGAGAGAAGAGAGAGAGAGACACACACACACACACACCACACACAC